CAAATCCGGTCTGCTAATAGGAGGATTTCAGATAGCCAATGGATTCTAATTTAGAACAGCTCAGTCTTTTCTTTGTTTTAAGATATATTAACCTGAGATGCTACATCTGTCCAGATAGGAAAGCACATTGTTCTTAGTTTACCTTCCTTTCAAAGGAAAGCTGTAGAAAGTTTCCATCAGAGGAAAGCTAGAAGATGTATTAAATCTTGTTTACTGCATACCTGCTTGTTACTGTTGTCCATATTTTCTTTATGTTGTCATTATGTTTCTCTGTGTTATTGGATAATCATTTCCCTGAAGTAAAACATTCATGCCCCTTGTCATTTATAATACCAGGATACTAGTATTAAAATGTCTTCATGAGTGAACAGATCTTTAGTCTCAGAGCCATTCTTCCATGAATAGGGTTGGCATATCCAACCAAGTCAATCTTAGAGAATCCCTAACTCTTGGGGGATTTAACATCCTGGAGAGAGCTTCCTGAAGTGGAAATAGTTACCGTGGTTACTGTGCAAGATACTGTCTTTTTTTCTGCTTTGGACCAGGTAGTGAACTGCCTTAAAATGGTCACTTTCCTGCAGTGCCTTTGAGCAGAAATAATTCTCTTGGATTTAGGCCTTAGCAGTTTTTTATGCCCATATGATTTGTGATGAGCCCACAACTGGATAGAGCCCCACAGGCGCCAGGTACTTTGAGTCCCCTTAGGCTTCTGGCCATTGGCCATGTGACAGCCTGGAGGAGGGCCAGTTTTTTCCTTTGTTCATTGCTTCTAGATAAGTGGTTGAGGAACTGATAGAGCAGTCATACAAAAGAGACTTTAAAAAGAAACAACAACAAAAAAACCCAGCCACATGCTTGTGAGTTTTCTGGCTGTGATGCTGTAAAGATCTATGGTGACTTAGAACAAAAGAGATCAAGTATGACCTCAGGGTGCCAGTACATATTGTTGGGGGAGGGTGTTTATAATGTGCTTTTTGTTTAGAGTGTCTTTTACCACATTTGTCACATAGTATACTGTGAAAATAGTTTGAGTAAGGCTTCCAATTAAAACACAGCTTTTGACAAGAGCACATAACTGAGCACTGCCTTGCATGTGATTTTTTAAAAATTACCTGACCTAAATATTGCTTCTCAGCTGATTGAAAATATAATTTAATTAAATTAATTAATTAATTTATTTATTGTAAAAGATGACTGGTAAGGGGATCTCAACCCTTGACTTGGTGTAATCAGCACGACGCTCTCCCAAATGAGCCACAGGCTGGCCCTAAAAATATAATTTTAAATGTGAACTAAAATTTGTTACATTCATTTGTCAGTATTTCAGGGGTTGACTGTGTAGTCAAGTATGTCTTTTTGTTAATGTTTCTTGTGGACAATGTTGAAAATAAAGTGTGAAGAAACAATTGTACTCCCATATATAGAACAATGCTGAGCACATGACAGGCTCTTACGTATTTGTTCAATGAATGTAGAGACATACTATTAATATCATTTCGGTATATATATATGTTTAGGATTTTTTTTTATGTGTATTTGTCTTTTTTAAAAATAAAATAGAGATCAGAACATGCAAATGAAATGTGCAATTTCCTCTTTAAATTAAAAATATTTTTTGACATTTTTGTTATTACATTTTTTTATTCATTTTTATTTTGACATTTCTTTTTATTATTCATTTTTATTTTGACTTTTTTTTAATTATTCATTTTATTTTGACATTTCTTTTCATGAGTATTCGTCTATTATTCTTTTGTGATAGCTAGAAGATTTGAATTTGCCTGTGGCCCTTGGCAAGAGGGCAGCCTTACTGTAGGCATGTCTGCTAAATGAAGCTGCATAATTTTGTTTGGTAATTGCTGCTATGGATCCTCATTAAATATGTGACCTTAACTCTGTACTCTTCTTCATAAAAATCTCTGGAGTAGAGTCTTTTATCCCTCCTGCCCACCCTGGAGTTTAGGCCTTTTCACTCTGACTGCATTCATCTCTTCCTCCCTCTTACAGTGTGACTTCTACCAAATTCACCTGCTTACTCTATTTCCCTACATGAACCATCTGCTTTAGTCAAATGGTTTTCTCCATATACTGCATTTCCTGTTAACCTGCTTATATTAGTAAAGTCCTGGATCTTGACAGGCAGTATTCTGGGGGTGTTACACTGTAGGGAAACTTATTCAAGTTACAAGTGAAGTTTGTTTTTCTGGTAAAGACCTATGATTGACTTTTAAAACTTTTAGTTAGTAGTTATCATAAACCTAAACTAACTCCTTTTCTCTGCTTGCAGTGACAGTTGTCTTCTCTGTGGCAACTAAAACTGTTCAAAAAAGTCTTACAAGTTAGTTAATTCTTTCTTGATTCTTTGAATAATGTGGATAAAATAGTTTCATCACATCTGTGAATTTTGATTATATTTTCTCCTTTCATCAAACTCTGCCAAACACTACCTACTTTGTAACTAAAATAGACCTGTGCTGGGGGGAATTCACACTAATCCTTTGACATAGTTAACCTGGGCCACTTAGATAAATCATAGCTATGACCTTGACTTAACTTAATGAACTTGACATCTTGTAGTTTTAGGCCTATTGTTTATTTCTCTTAACCAGTCTAGTCTGTCTTTTTTGGCATTCTTCCCATCTGCACATGAGGGAGCCACATAAATAGTTAACATTTTTTAAAAAGGCATGGGCTCTGTTTTCAAGGACTTATTACCTACTTAGCTCTTGAATAATGAAAATGCTCTGATATAGACTAAATGAGCCAAGAACATACAGGTAGCATGGCATGGTGGATAGTCTCTGGAGCTAGTAAGATCAGGATTTTGATCCTGGTCCCTCAACTCAATGGCACTGTGAGTATCCGTCCTGGAGCCTCGGGTTCTTCTTCTGTGAAGTGATGGCGGGGAGGGGGGGTTATGGGAAGGGATGGCTGAATTTCTTTTTCATTTCTTTCCTTTGCAGGGTTTAGTAAAGGATCATAAGGACTAGGGAAGTCAGCCTGGAACCAAGACTTGAGCTACACTTTGCCAGCAGGCTAGGTTGAGTGGAGAAGAAAAGGGAGCCATTTGACCAAAGGCATGTAAACAAGTTCATAGAGAGGCTTGAAAGCATCTGCAAGGAGGGGACTCAGTGAAAGCTATGCATTAAAAAAATGTGTGTTAGAAGGGTGAGGCAGGAATCTGAAAGACGGGGGAGAAGATTCTTAAAATCTAGGCACAAGATGGTGAGAGTGTGGAAGAGGATAGTTGCTCAGGTGGAGAAAGGGCAGATATAAGGAGCCTTTCCAGGGAAAAATTATCAGTATTTTTGGGTGTGAGGCTGTGGGATGAAAGAAATTACAGGGGTCTAAGCTGGGCCATTACTGTGCCATTCATTCGTTCATTCATTCAGAAAACACTTAAATTGAAAACCTGCTGCAAGATTCTGTTCTAGGTATTAGGGATTAACCACTAAATGAAACAGAAGTCCCTGATCTTTTCGAAATCTACTTTCTAGTGTTAATTATGTTTAAAAAACTTAGTGGCAGCAATTTTGGGATCTTGAGATGTCATCATATAGGTCATGATCTAAAAGTCAAATGGGAAGTGTTGAAAGCACATCCAATGTCTTCATGAAATCAATACAGTATTTTCTTGTTTCAGAACTGTAAAAACAAGAGTAAAACTGTTAAATTGAAAATGCTGTATTTCACAGGTCAAAGGAAGTGGTACTACTCTAGATTTAGTATTTTGCCTCATAGTTAATAAATTACAGGGAATGTCATGAAGTTTAGAACACCTAGGAAATTGTTGAGTTGTAAAGGTTGTTTTTGTAGACTTTGGTTAGATTAAAATTAGGTTCATTTAACTACCCAGAGGAAGTAATTATGTTGAACAAGGCTTTTTTTTGGAGTGATTTTTGTCAATTTATTTCTGAAGTAGTACTATGATACTTTAATTTTCAATCTGAGTTTTCTTCATTTTAAGGTGAAAAAAATTTGTTAGTACAGGTTGAGTATCCCTTATCTGGAAATCCGAATCTGAAATGATCCAAAATCTGAAACTTTTCAAGTGCCAATGTGATGCTCAAAGGAAATGCTCATTGGAGCATTTTAGATTTCAGATTTTTGGATTAGGGATGCTCAACTGGTATGTGTTCTGCAAATATTCCGAAAAAATCTGAAATCCAAAACATTTCTGGTCCCAAGCATTTTGATAAGGAATACTGAGCATGTACTAGGTAATTCTCTGATGAAAAATACTGATGTAAGAAATAAAGAAGTTTGGAAATTAAAATATTTTTCATGTTTTTATTACTTTTTATTGTACATGTTTCTGGAGTACAGTTTGTTTCAGTACATGCATATATTGTATAATGATCCAATTGGAATAGTTAGCATATCAAGCACCTAAATATTTATGATTTCTTTGTGATTATAACATTGAAGATATTGTCCCTCTAGAGCACCAGAACTTATTCCTCCTATGTAACTGTAATGTTGTAACTTTGTGCTGGTCTCTCTTCTCCGCTCCCTTTCCCTGCCACTGGTAATCACTGTTCTACCTCTGTTTCTTTCTTTTTTTCTTTTTAATTTATTTTTTTTTATTGACCCATGATATTTTGTATATATTTATGGAGTACAAGTCACGTTATTTTGAAAGCTTGAATTGGAAGAACATTATCTAATTAAAATTATGATGCATTTAAATATTCATTTAGTTTAGAAAACTTTCCTACCAATCATTTAATTGATTTAGTAGTATTTCATAACATTTTTGTAATAACCACAATTATTCAGGTATAGCAGTAGAGTATAAAGATTATTCATAATTCTTAAGGAAAGAAATAAAGGAATTTGAACCTAATCGGAGTGATAAGTTTTCATGTAGTAAAAGTATTAAATATTAAAGGATATTAAAAATATTCTTAAGAAATGATTAAAACTCTCAGTATCTGAATTGCTGTTAAAAAATCTGATTATTTTTTAAAGGGTGATTGATGTTTTTAAAATTTCCTCAGGTAAAAGTGCAGTTTTAAAGTGTCTCCTGGATATTCACAAAATTTTTCAGGAAGATGACCCAGCCTACATCCTAAACGATCTCTACATCTCAGACTACTGTGTGTGGATTCAGAAAGCCAAGTAAGTTTTGAGTCACTTATAAATTTATAGATGCTTATATTTCTGAAACATCTTTTTATCCAGGAGGTAGAAAATTAAATAACCTGTAAAATATGTTTTAATGAGAGAGAAACCCATATAACTACCAAATACATGAGAAGTAACTGGATTCATATGGGGAGCTTGGTGAATTTACTTAGGGAGGGAGTGGCAGAGGGTGAAAAATTAATCTTATTATAAAAAATTGATATTGGTACAGCATGACAAATAAGATTTAAAACAGACAGTTTTGAGTATTCATTGTTATAGACTGTCCAATATGAACTATCAAAACTGGGTATCTGAACCTGTACCTATAATTTACTTACAGTGGAGTGTAAGTGTGTGTATATGTATATGTGCTCGTGTTTATATATGTAGACATCACAGGATGCAAACCTAATCAAATCTAATCCAAACAAGAGCTGTTTATTCATTGACTATCCACAGGGTTATAGAGTTTATACTTCAAAGTATAAAAAATAGGGCCGAGCACATGGTGCACTCGGGAGAGTGCGGTGCTGGGAGCTCGGCAGCGCTCCCGCCTTATTCATTGACTATCCACAGGGTTATAGAGTTTATACTTCAAAGTATAAAAAATAGGGCCGGGCACATGGTGCACTCGGGAGAGTGCGGTGCTGGGAGCTCGGCAGCGCTCCCGCTGCGGGTTTGGATCCTATATAGGGATGGCCGGTACGCTCACTGGCAGAGCGCAGTGCGGCCAGTCTCAAAAAGGACAAAAACAAAAAACAAACAAACAAAGAAAACAAAGTATAAAAAATAGGGCCGAGCACATGGTGCACTCGGGAGAGTGCGGTGCTGGGAGCTCGGCAGCGCTCCCGCTGCGGGTTTGGATCCTATATAGGGATGGCCGGTACGCTCACTGGCAGAGCGCAGTGCGGCCAGTCTCAAAAAGGACAAAAACAAAAAACAAACAAACAAAAAAAACAAAGTATAAAAAATACAGTCTTTAGAACCTAGTAGCATGATTCTTGATAACACATGTATCAAAGGATCTGAATACTAACAAATGGGCTTCAGCACTTGGTATGTAAAATTCTTAAAAAGTGTTTATCAGTGCTTCATTCAAGGAAACATAATAGCTTAACTATTAAGTTTAAAAATGCAGTGAATTTTTATTTTGTGAAGGAGTTCTGTAGATCTGATTCTTACTAGACATGGCCAAATTATCCATTTCAGTAGCAAGAGGCTATTAATTGAGATCATACAAAGAGAGCTTTTGTTTGGAATGATTCCTAGGTTTTGTAGAGAGTGATGGCACAATATCAATTGTAACTTAGAAGCAAAATAATCATATTTTTACTATTGTGGCATTTTTACTGTGATTGTTAAATAAATGCTTTAGTGTGAGCCTCAATGCCTGTTTTGAACTAGTCATTATATAGAATTTATTTCTGATTTCTGTTCATGGTGAAGCAATTATATTGCAGAGTGAAATATGAAAAAAAAACTTGGGGCTATACCTGTTGTATGGAAAATGCTTAGGAATTGCTCAAGATAACAGCTAATAACATACAGCAGGTGGTGTCAGTGTTTGTGCTGGAGATCTAGATTTTGCCAGATGGAAAATTGAATCTTTAACCCCTGAGGTCATGATGGTATGTCATCACTTCATTTGATCCTCCTGCTAATTGAGCTTATCAAATACCCTGCTGCCATTTCCTGTTGTTACTTTAATTTTCATAATAAAATTAAATTGGAATACTCTATCTGTGTGAGTTTGGGGATTTTTGTTTTAAGGCTGAGGATTTTATAAACATGTAATGAGTATTGAGGTTTCTGCCAAGATACCATTTCTGCGAGTGCCTGTTTCTCTGTTTGTGACATTCCTTATCAACCAGAGGGAAGGTCATATTTCATTAAAGTAGGAGGATGTAGGCCCTCAAGTTGATGTGGCGAGTGTCAGACTTAATTTCTCTTTAAAAAAATATTTTCTCTTGGTTTTAAATTATGTGAATGAAGCAGAATTCTTAGGTTCTTAATAATTGTTATGATAATAGCAATTTTTTTTAAAGGGGTAATGTATTGGGGAGCAAGGTAGGAAGAGAGAAACCAGCAGGAACTCTTCAAGTTACTTTGTAGAAGTTGTTTTTTCAACTTTGCTGATTTGAACATAACTTTTCTTTCCCTAAATAAGCTGTATTTTTTTCACTTTATATATTAAATTTAACTCTAGCCCAGCTATATTTTTCCTCCCCCTTTGAAATAAAACATTTGTTCATTTATCTAATTTTATTAAAATTTTATCCTTAATTTTGCAAGTACAACGTGATTGAGCTTTCTAGTACCATCTATATGTGAACTTTCTTGGCTCTAAATTAATTATTCTACATCGTATGTCCATGATTTTCATAACTAATTTTTCTTCACCTTATACCTACTGGGTTTTTTTCTGTATAGTTTATCAATGAAATCTAGCCCCTTGTTTTTATGTTTCAAATTAGTTCTGTATTTTCCTTTGTCTATATGTGATGTTTTTGATTATGATGATAAAAACTGTGTAAAATTTTATTTCAAATGCCAGACAAGGGCTAAATTCAGACTAGCACAGAGAACAGTGTTTCATTTTTACAGTCAGACATTTATTTTGCCAAAAACTTATTAGAATGTAGGTAGCCAAGTCATTCTTGTATTGAATTAATGAAGTTAGAGCAACAGTTATGATAAGTTCTGTTTTACTACTAGGTAATTATTTTTTCTTATGATATCTCTGTCTTATAAAGCATATTTGCAGATCTTAAAAACTGAAGCTCCTGGATTCTTATTCTGAGTTACACACTCTGCAAATTATTTTTCTGAAAAAGAGTGCTTTCTGCCATCCTTTACTTTGAGCCTCATTAGAAGTTTTGAGTGTATTTTCCACCGCAGCAAATGTTCCCTGAGTGGCAACATGAGAAAATGATTTGCTTGAGGTTATGGCTTATGAAAGATAGATCAGTAGTAGTGTCAGATCTGCTATTTCTAGATTTCTTACTTTACCACATACGCCACCTACATAACCAGTTGTCTTCACCCATGGGGTATTGAAGAAAAACAAAACGTAAAAATCTCTCCCTTCAGAGAGCCTTTCCCATAGGAAAAGGAATTAATGAATTATTTGTCTTTCTCATGCATGTTACCAAAGTGTGTGAGAGATGTTTTGAGAGGTCATTGGGCACATCTTGAACCTGCCTTATATTGTTGTAATCTAGGTACATATCTCTTTCCCCTCTAAAATTTTAAGTTCCATGCGAATGAGCACACTCAGTTCCTTGTGAACATGGTAAATTTTAGTTGAATTGAATAGTAACTATAGAGACGATTAAAGGAGCATTTTTTATTACTTAAGAAAAATTGTAGCACTTTAAAAAATATGACTTGGTGCTAACTTATTTTTCTTCAAAATTTCAGCTACATTCAATATAAGATCTCCCCTGATTCTTTGCTGGTGAGCTGCCATCATCAATAGCAGTGATAGTTCTTACCCTCTGAAAGTTTAGCAGTTTACACCCTTCTGTATAGGCTGGGAGGGAAAAGAATGAACTGTAATATGTTCCAGCTCTACTTTTCATTAGCCATATGACCTTAGCAAGTCACTTTATCACTTCATCTAATGCAACCAGTGTGAGGGAACTAAAAAAAGTTCATGGAAAGATTTATAGTATCTTTCAATTTTCTTTTTCCACAAACTTTTTGAAGTACCTTCATATGAGTATTTTAATATTTTCTCTAGTTATTCCCCAGTGCATTTTATTTTATTTTTTTATTTTTGTTTTTTATTGGTTTTGCTAATGTAAGAATAGAACCATCACAGTGGCTGAGTTCTATGACTCATTCATCCCAAGCTTATTCTAGTGGTAGGACCAAGAGTATACAGAGGTCTTTAGATCAGTGGAAATAATACTGCTCATATCATTTTGTAACCTCTTTATTTTTATGATAGTATCCATAAGTCATTTTTCTTTATAATGTAATAGTTATTACATGGTATTTTTTAAAGTAACTGATTTATTCCTCATTATAAAAGGACTATATGCCCACTGAAGAAAATCTGACATTAAAACTGTATGTTTTTAATGCATGATGCATTTTAAAATGAGAAGAGATCAAGTAGGGTATTCTTTTTTTTTTTTTCCCCTGCTTTTTAGCGTACTTTACCTCCTAAATGAAATATGACTTTTTGGACATTAATGTGGAAAGTTTGTAGAGGGAAATAACTCTGTCTCTAAATAGTTATCTCTTATTTGATAAATCCTGAACTTCAGTTTCCTCAGTTGTAAGTGAATTTCAGCACTGAAATCTTAAAATTTTAGAAAACCCAAGACCCTATCATTATTTTAGACTGCTTCAGTTGCTTTCTCTGTGTATGTCCTTATGTAAGGGATAGGGTTATGCACCTAAAAACAGCATAGATACATGTGTCGCTTCCTTTTGGCTGTCTCTTGTTCCTGGTTTCTGTGGAGGAAGGAGTATACCTCACATGCAGAGGTACATCATCAGCATTGAATGTAAAAGTGGAATAATATATTTTTCAACCACTAATTACTGAGCCCTACTATGTGCCAGGTGCTGGAGATACTCTGGTGAACAAGAGAGAGACTCCATCTTGAAGCTGATTTTTTAGTGGAAAATACAGATGTAAGCAGAATATTATGCGCTATCTCATTGCGGCTACTATGGGGAACTATGGGTTCTGTAGAAGCACCTAGGAGGACACGTAGCTGTGGAGAAAGCTCCCGGAGGAAGAGTTTAGACTGAGAGCTAAAAGACCGGTAGGAGTTGGTCAGATGCATTTGGGGAAGGGGGGATGAAGAGTATTTCAGACAATGGGGACAAAAGAATGTGGCCCTTTTGAAGGGCTTGGAAGCTCAGGATGGATAGATAATAATACCAAAACGCAGAGGAAAGAAATGAAGCTAGAGAGGTACATGTAGAGCCTTGGCTACCTGAAGATGTTTAGACTTTGTTCTGGGAAAGTGTGG